CACACTAGAATTTTCTCCTGTATCGTGCAGGCAGTTTACAAACATTAATTGCACGAGGACAAACATCCAGACCCGGAACAATTATTTGTAGGCCATACAAATACTTGTTCCGTGCGGGATTCGAACCCGCGGCCCCCAGCGCAATAACTGATTGCTAAGCCACTGCGCCACGGAGCCGTCAACTTCATAACTTTTTTCTACGTGAACCAATTTTGATGAATCTTTTTTTTTTATTTGAAAGTCGCTGCTGTTCATGTGGTCCCATATAAATTTGATCAAAGTTTGACCAGTAGTATTTTAGATATCCTTAATAATTTATATTGATGTTGGTTGTACGAACTTTTTAATTTTACCACTTGTTGAGTGAAAAAGTGCCAAAATAAAAAAAAATCTTTAACCCTCAAATGCGCATAAGCAATTTATTTTTAATTGTTTTATTGACACTCTTCTGTCGAATGAGCTTGAATGTATGTGTAACGATGTTTTGTAGATTATGTCGGGTTAATATTCTGCACAATGTACGAACTGATGGGTAACTTAAAATTTGATTTGACACAATATTTCTGATTTAATAAATTAGTTTCTTGAACAGGCCACTAGAAAAATTATCTCAAATATGGTTATCATTATTTTTAGCCGACTTCGAAAAAAGGGGAAGGTACTCAATTCGACTATATTTTTTTAAATGTGTGTTACCTCAGATTTTTTTTTAGGTGCACCGATTTTCCTTATTAATTTAAAAATGCATAATATTCATATATTTAACCTCATTCGCTTCAATGCGAAGTATACAAATCTCATATGTTTGTTCTTAGTGCACTTTATGAAACACCTGCATCTGGACCGTAATGAAGCGCAAAATTTGCACCTATACGTTAGTGTGAATTCCCAAATAATATGTCATATGCCAAGCCGTTATTTTGAATATAAAGCACGGTGCATACAATCGACTGGGTACCGACAGGCACACATATTACAACCAGCTCGCACCTGCGACTCATTGCTTCCGAGTTCCGCAGTCAGTGTGTCTGCGTCCTTTTATTGTACTGAATGCACGAAAAATGACATAAATATTTACTTTGCATTTAGTATATCCAGTTTGTTAGTAATCTCCCTATAAACGGTCATTTGTAAACTAATTAAACGTTGTAGGTTTCGAATATTTACTCATATTTTATTGATTGAATGTTATCATAGTGATGTTTGGAATATATGTTTTATATTTAAATATAGCTTAGATACTAATAAATAACACGACGTCATTTTCAGTATATAAGGATAAAGATACATACAAATAAAGTAATTTCTCACTAGTGATCGGCTGATATTGTAAAATACATTGCAATACAAATTAAATTCCATTAAATTTTCTACGTGATAGAGCCATGCTGCAGCAATATTAGTAGTATAGTTGTAGCACGAATGGGTCGGCTCGACCGGTGAAGGACCACGCTCTCACAGAATACCAACGTGAAATAGCAGCTTAACACTGCTGTGTTTCGTATGGTGAGTGTAGAGAACCGAAGACCCTTTTTATTGGAAAAGAGCCATTTCATCTTAGTCCTCACGGGTGACAACGCATCTGCATTTTGATTCGCAAACCAAGATAGATGTATATGTCTATGGGCCACAGCGACCACTTACCATCAGGTGGACTGTGGGCCCGTTTGTCACTCTAGCCTATAAAAAAAAGATCATTATATTATGAAATCGTTTTATCACTTTTAATAAAAAAAAGGAAGATAAATAATCCCCACAGTTTCTCACTGGCTCATGTCTCACTTTTTGAATTGGTGATAGACCTTGACGTTCATAAGAGATATAAATAAGCCAAAAGTAAAAGTAAAGTAAAAGCCTATATATACTATCGTTCTACTGCTGGACACCAGCTTCCTTCCCAGAAATGAGTTCTGGGAGGGTTTTTTAAACAGCGTATTTTTGAAAATTATTTTTGTACTCGACATTTGACATTTTGTATTCATTAATTTTAAACTTTACCTAATTTTGTTTTTCATTTATACTTCAGTTTTTTAATTAATTTATTTTAATTGGAATTAGTAAGCTAGCACAAGAATAATTGTTCTGTTTTTGTTGTCTGTACAATCAAAGCATTATCCTTTGTCCCGAATCAAGATCTGTCTCTAATTGATTTATAGTCTGTTTAATTTAACAATCAGTTTTAATGTATTAACACTTTTATAATACAATATTTGAATGCGTGGGATAGTCTATAGGGCTATATTATAGTTGAAGCACGAATGGATTGGCTCGACCGGGGAAGGACCACGCTCTCACAGAATGCCGGCATGAAATAACAGCTTAATGCTGCTGTGTTTCGTATGGTCAGTGTAGAGAACCGGAGAACCAAAGTCCTCATGGGTGATAACGCGTCTGCATTTTGATTCTTAATCGAGGATCGATATAAACGTCTATGGGCCACAGCATCCACTTATTATCAGGTGGACTGTGTGCTCGTTTGTCGCTCCATTCTATATTTTAAAAAAAATATAATAATAATCGAACTACTCTTGGACCACGTTTAGCCAAAAAATATGGGTACCTATAAATGGAAAATTGTGAAGGAAGTGATTGATGGGTTGCTCGCCAATCGACTCCACAATCACAAACCCAATATCCCATTAGTGCCCTTTTACGACGAACTAGGCAAGTAACTGGATACATATTTTTTATAAGTTCTATATAAACATAGAACCTGCAGCTTATAAGTCCCAAACCAATCTGAGACTTACATAACCGAACAATCGTTAAATTAAAAATGTGTATTTCGTACGTGATCGTGAGAATAACTATTTTCTGTGATGTTAACGCTGTTAACCTATGCGGTTCTTACAGCTTCATCGGACGCAGGGCTCGCGGCCTGAAAGGCCGCGAGCTATTTAAAAGTGGAAAGGCGGTAGCTGGGATAAGGATGAGGATGATGATGGTTTGTGATTTGGTATTGTTACCAATCATCATGTCCCCTCCGTAGAGGTTTATTTTGAGCTATCTAACCGCAGTCCGAGGGGGGGAATGCGAACCCCTGCCTCTAACTGCTTAGCTCGTATCGGTCGATGTTCTGGGCGGTGAGAACCGCCCAGGCACGCGGGTGTACGGTGTGTACGCGGTGTGTGTTGGAACGCGTCGTGCCCGCCTACGGGTGCGACGCGCCCCTTCCGTTGTCCTATTAGTGTTTGTCCCAATTGGTGTGGGTGTAGTGTCAGTGTGTGATGTGCCTGCGACGTTTGGGTCGACGGGATCGAGCGAGCGCGGTTGCTCTATTAATACATTACGCGGTCTACGGAGAAACGGCGCGACGTTCGGTATCGGGACGTAGTTGGCTGCGTTTACCACTAGGGGGTTCGGATGAGCTTCGGCGCTGTCAAAGTAGCGCTGGGACATCTCCTTAAAGTATTCGGAGATACAGGGGAGTTGACAATCGCTGTGTAAATCAGAGTTCCGTTGATACCACCGTGCACCGGTGGCTTTACGGATGAAATGGTTTTGAACTTTCTGTAGTTCGTTTAGGTGGGACTTATATGTGTGTGCAAAGGCTACACTTGCGTAAGACATGATAGGTCTAACGCAGGATTTGTACAAATGGAGTTTGTGCCTTAGAGACAGCTTACTCTTGCTGTTCACAAGAGGATGGAGACGGCCAATAACTGACTTGGCTTTGTTGCGAACAATACTAATGTGTTTCGCGAAACTCATGTTGGCGTCAAACGTAACGCCCAGATATTTGGCTGAGGATTCCCATGGGATGGGGCGGCCGTATAAGGTAATTACCTTCATACGTTTTCTTGGTCCATTACCGGACTGTTTTGGATTCCGTTGAAAGTATATTGCTACACTTTTTTCGGGATTCACTTCAATTCTCCATTGGCGGAACCATTCGCCTAAGCGATTGGCAGCTTTTTGGAGTTTTAAAGTGAGAATATTCCTATTGTACTCTGATACAAAGAGAGCCGTATCGTCGGCGAAGAGAGCGGTGTTGACCGCTGGATCTTTAGGGATGTCACTCGTAAAAAGTGTAAACAGAATTGGAGACAGGGCGGAGCCTTGTGGGACACCGGCCTTAGGAAAGCGTTTCGAAGAACGGGTTCCCTCCACTCGATAGCGAAAAGAGCGATTTGAAAGGAAGGCTCGGATGATGTGTACGAGCCTGTCCGGCACGTTTAGTTTATACAGCTTGTAGAGCAAGCCGTCGTGCCAGACCTTATCAAAAGCCTTTGCGACATCAAAGAAGAGGGCTCCCGTGCCTCGAGATTTTCTCCTTGTCGGATGATGATTGAAGCCAGACAGAATATATTCTGTTAGGCGATGAATTTGGTTAGTACATGAATGTTTGGCTCTAAATCCAAACTGTTCGTCAGGGAGGAGTCTGTTAGTTTCCGTGAAGTGACGGAGGCGCTTGAGGATAGTGTGCTCATATAATTTACCTAAGGTGTTGAGTAGGCTGATAGGCCTGTAACTGGTGGGTCGGTTACGCGGTTTGCCCGGTTTATGGATTCCTATTACGTCTGCTTCTTTCCAGATATCCGGGAAAGAGCAGCTCGAGAGAAGCGCGTTGAAAATTCCTACGAGGAGGTAAATTAACGGTGCCGGAAGAGATTTGATCACCTTGTTACTGATGCCGTCTGGCCCAGGGGCTGATCTAATCTTAAGGCTTTTTATGGTCTTAGTGACTTCTTCGAAAGTCACGGGATCGAGTGGATCGCCCGCTGGCGGAAACGCAGCCCTACGTTCGATTTCCGCTTCTACCTCTAGCAGGTGAGCGGGATCTGTTGGTACGCTGGATGGGGTACACTGGCTCTCTAGACTGTCGGCTAGGCATTCGGCTTTTTCGAGATCGTCTAAGGCGAGATCGGGGTGGTCGAGCCTCACGAGAGGCGGCATGGGAGCAATTTGCTCTGCTTTTATGGCTTTAGTCAGCCTCCAAAAGGCATCTTGAGATGGTTCTAATCCCTCTAAGAGGTTATCCCATTTATCATTTCTAAATTCTACAACGCGTTGTTTAATCTCGTTTTGCAGAGAACGTAGCCGGATTTTGTTATCTGCCGTGCGATAACGGTGGCGGAGTTTTTCGCTCTAATCAGCCGTCGAACGTCTGCCGGAAGCTTTGTGTACCGATCGCTCGACACACGAACCTTACGGGACCACTCTTCGACCGCTGATGTGAGGTGAGTCGATAGGGCGCTAATCGCCCTATTGGCTTCCTCCGGCGAGTCTATCTTGTCCGGTATTGAGTCTAAATGCTGGGAGTTCGTAGACTCAAGTTTGACCTTGAGCTTACGCCAGTCGACGATGGTTTTGGTCTGAGGGACCTCACCAGCCGACCGGCCCAGTTCTAATACGATCGGCCTATGGTCCGAGCATAGTTCGATGAAAGTTTCGATCGAGTTAATGTTAAGCCGGATGTCTTTTAAAATAGCTACGTCAAGGACGTCCGGTTGTTGACTAGTTATAAATGGGTAGTGAGTTGGGCTCTCAGGAGCGATAACGTCGAAGTTAAGTCTCTCCGTGAGGCCGCATAATATGTTTCCGTTTGGATTGTTTAGGTTAGAGTTCCAACTAACGTGCTTACTGTTTAGGTCACCCGCGATTACTACGCTGGGGCCTAGATTTAGTAGTGCCGAGATGTCGGCTTCTAATAAGGGTTTTTGCGGTGGCTGATATGCCGAGGCAATTATGACGGGCGGATGGCCCGTAAGTGCTATTCTACATACCGATGCTTCTAAGTTAGCAAGCGGTGGAGTGTCTAACGGTATACAGTGCAAGGACCTTTTGTAGTAGATCAAGGTGCCGCCTTTAGGTCCGGTCAGCCTATCATTTCTTACTAAGGTATAATTAGCTATTTTGGGATCGCGCACGCTAGGTTTCAAGAAGGTCTCCTGCACTAGCATGATGTCGACATCATGATCGCGTAAAAAGTACACGATTTCTTCCTTTTGATCTCTGATGCCGTTTGCGTTAAAGAACGCGACAGTCAGTGAGCTAGGTTTGGTTCTGCCTGTATGTTGTACTGCCATTTTGTTTTAGAGAGATTATTATTTAGGCGCATTGGAATGAACCGATCGCGTCGATGAGATTGATATGCTCAATGGTGGCATTGAGCTTATCTTGAGCGGATTTGGCCTCGCGTAGTTTACGGGCCAGGGAAGACACTTCGGCAACATTAATATTGTTGAAGAAGCTGCAGACTAACGAGAAGTCAGCAGCGAAGGTAGAAGATGCCTGAGGGGCAAGTTTGGGCTTTTGAGCCTGGAGAGAGGGCGCTGGCCGTGAGGCGGCCGCGCTAACAATCGCCGGGGGCTTAACCCAAGCGTTCGACGCGGGTGCTGAAGGCACCGATGAGCTTACACCTTGCCCGGAAGACCCTTTAGCGGGGGCGGGTTTGGTGTGAGGCTGAGGGGGCGCGGGTTGAGACACCGAGATCGGTGCTAATGATGGGGCATGTTGCCTAGGACGGGACCTACTAGCGCTAGCCGCTCGTCCGCGCCGGTTTGCGCCTCCGCGCCACTTTCTACGCGGCGCTTTGGTACACCCGCGATAGTTCGCTGGGTGTCCCGCTTCGCCGCACAGAACGCAGCTCGGAGGGCCTTCCGACTCGGGCGTTCGGGTGCACTCGGGTGTGCCGTGGTCACCTAGACACTTAACGCATCTAGGTTTCGCATAGCAATTTTTGGCCGAGTGGCCATACAGTTGGCATCGGTGGCATTGACCAACGATGCCCCTATTACGGGGGGCCTCTACCGTAATCCCAGTGAGATTACAGATTCGGCGAATATTGTAAATTTCTTTCCCTTCCGGGGACAGGTCTAAGATAACTAGACAAAGGTCTAGGTATCTTTTTTTGTCGGTGGGGTGGTGCATTCTGTGCACTTCCCTAACCGGGAGATTCTGCGATTTAAGATCGCTTAAAATGTGCTCGGTTTCGAGCTCCTTAGGGAGCCCGCGAACGACTACGCGGAGGTTGCGTTCTTCCGCAAGGGCGTAAGTATGGAAGCTCAGTTTCTGAGCTTTAAGATGCGCAGTTAAAGCGCGGAAGTCATCAGTCGTTGAGACGTGGATGCGTATGCCCTGGCCACCATTGTGGACCTTTGGGCAGAAGATTTTTTTGGAGTCAATCCAATGCGAAAGGTTGCTCCATCGGGATTTATCCTGAAGGATGATCGGGGGCGGCGGTTTTTCCTTGCGCACCGCGGCGGGTTCAGAGTTCGCGATTTTGGCGATTTTAGGGCGCGCTGAAGGCGCGGTCTTTTTAGCCGGAGTGGCGTTAGGTGACGACGACGGGGACGAAGGGGCCGAGTGAGGCTCGGCGCCCTTTTTCGCGGCGGGACGTTTACGTTTTTTGCCCGAGACTACGGTGAAGCCTTCGTCATCGGGCATGGCGGGTTTCGCGACGTCGAACTCCATTTCGGAGCCCGTCTCGGCGTCCGAGAACGCCGGGGACGGCCCCCGAGTGGAGAGCGCAGAAGGCGCGGGGGATCCTACGTCATAAAGCGTTTCTACGGACGCGGGGGTCGCGGGTCCGGTGCTGGGCGACATAGGGTCGTCTACCAACACGGTCGGACGTTCAGCAGCGGGCGTTTGGCGTTGCGCTAGAAAGGTCGCCCAAACGTCGGGGCACGCACGACTGAAAAAGTCGGCGAGTTCGGCTATGGTTATAGCCGCCATCTTGTCTTGTTTTTAAGAAAACACTTGTGTACCAAGCTCCCCCACCTCACGGCGGGGGAGGTGTGTGCTTAAACGAACACCTATATACCTAACGCGTTGGTACGTTAGGGTGTGTACCTAGCTGTCGCCTAATGCGACAAGCGAACACAGAGATTAATACAATAACAATATAATAGCCGCCTCTGAGGCGGCACGGCGGTGTGTAATAAACTACTTACAGTTTTTACTGGAAATTGGCAGAGCGTGGGGCACTACACTAATCCCTAACACAATAGAACAATGGGCCGGCGGGCCGATGCAACCTGACGGCGGCAATGACGCACAACACCACTGAAGCACTTCGAGCACTTAATCCTTTTATTGTCTTTTTTTTCGCACAATTGCAACTTAGTAATTCGGGAGCGCATGGGCTCGACCGAAGAATACGTCCGCGCGGCTTGAGCGCAGACAACCGACCTCTAATTACTCTCGTGAGAATAATCAACAAAGGTTTTCTTTTATAGTATGGTTTTCATAACAGTCGACCGTAAACCGTTTTATTTTTTCGTCCAAAATAGTGGTGGCTTGTAACATGTGGTAAAATTATGGTTTTATAAAATACTAAGCCATTACAAAGGTATATATGGAAAAAGGATATCATACACTTCAGTTCCCATGTTACCATAGACGCTGTAGCACTAGAAATGTTTTAAAAGTAAGTCAGTAAAATGGGACAAAAGATTCTCGGGTGTATGTGAAATTAAAAAGTGAATTCATAGTCTATTATATACTACCTGTGCACGTAGCACAGGTCTCCTATCATTTCTGCCACGTTGATCTATTTCATGTTAGCTGTCTTTAGATCCTTGGAATATTCTATTTCTCAATCGCAAGTCTAACCCATAATGTTTTTCTTCAACAATGAGCACTTAGCATTTAAAATTGTAAATTTAATTATATTCAGCGTATAGTGGCGGTGTAAGAATATATATAACACAAAATTATACCGTGGGTGTCGTAAGAGGCGACAGATGAAAACCGAAACACAATAAAAATTCAAGGAAAAACTGCGGTTACCTTCGGTTGCGCCTGCCAAGTGTAGCAGCTATTGAAAAATCCCCCTTCTAAAATAATCTATGGGAGAGCTAATGCAAGTACTGCTACTTGGCGGCAGCGTAAAATGGCAGCTTGACACTGTGTTGTTTGGTGAGTGGAGAAAACCGGAGACCCATTTTACTGGATTTATTCCATCTTAGTCCTCGCGGGCGACGACGCATCTGCATTTTGATTCTTTATTGTGGATAAATGTAGATGTCTATGGGTCACAGCAACCACGTACCATCGGGTGGACTGTGTGCTCGTTTGTCACCCTATCCTATAAAAAAAGGTAAGATAATAACCTATCTAGATCGACTCCTATATAGAATCCTACCACCAAATAAAATTTAGTAATATAAATTGCATATATTAAAACAAGAGTAAAAAATATAATAAGTAAGGTGACGGAATTGAATCATTTTTTTAAATACAGAATACTACGAACAAAGATAAGCACGGATTAACTAGACTAAAAAAAGTAAAACCGTGCTCGCATCGCCTTAAAGATTCTATCGTCAATTGCACCCGAGCGGGTATTCAAAGCAATATCACCATTTAAAGATCACGTCCGTAGACTGCTATGGTGTAAGTGAAAGGGATTGGCGATTTAAAAATTAAATTGATTTTTATTTGTATTACACTCAAAAATTACTTCAATAATTTATTTATTATCTTATAAGTCTTTGTAGATTTCAACATCAAAAAGAATTCACATCACTTTAAAAAAAGAAGATTATTTGTCAAATTACTACCTAGACGAGAAGTAGCCCCTTATACCTAGGTTTGTGCATTTCTTTCGCTTATTTGTGTATACAAGCGGCAGTGCACCCACTGCTGTTCCGGTTTATATGGCAAGTAAGTACTAATATTTCTGAAGAGCACTTAATCGATACAATTTGTTCTTAATTCTCAGTGGTTAAAATGTGTTTGTTGACTTTTTTTCCTTGAATTAGTTTTGGTTTTACATGTGCTACAAAAATACTGTACTACCAATTTGGACATAAACAACCACTAATTTAGAAAATATTAAATTCATTAGTATTAAAAGAATAGTGTGATAAGGCAAATAATTTATTTGTTAGTTAAAAACATGCAAAATTACGTTTTTAAGACTAATGTTGGAGAAATCTGCGTTCGACGAACGCAAGGTACCAATTCCTACTCCGATGGTCAAAGCAAAACTCTTATAAATCCCAAATTTATATCATAAGTAGAAGAATTGGTGCATATGAAATTGCTTTAACTAAATTGTTAATGATTGCTAATTCTTTAACTAAATACAATTTAAACCGAGAATGAAACCATAAAAATAAAAGAGGTGGGTTAGTTGATAATAATAAAGGATTTCTTATATTTACGCGAACACTACACATTGAATTACCCGTGGTCTGGTCATGGTCACGAGGGGACTCCCCCGTGACCATGGGTGTTGTAAAGCACCCGTAGCCTCGGGAATTAAAATAGTAAATTAAACGCGATAAAATCCATAAAAAATAGTTTTATTCAATAATAAACGAGTTAAATACAAAGACAAAGTATCTGTTTGCTAATAATATTGTTAATATTATAGTAATAATAATAAAAATAACTTTATTGTACACCATAAAAATGTAAAGAAAAAAAGGAAAAAAATATATAAACCTGTTTTACAATGGGCGACGTTATCGCTAAAAGCGATCTCTTTTGCGCTACGATAAAAATAAATGAATTATGAGATAATACAATTAAAATTATTGTGTATATGCATCTACTAAAAATACATCATATATTTTAGTAGATGCATATACACAATACAGATATTATACACGAGCTTAATAAGCAAACGAAAAAATATAAACAGAAAGTCCCAGAAGTCTGGGACAGACTGTATATAATATTTAAGATGACATAAATAGTCACGACTGATAGTGCTCAGTAACTAACGATTTGAAAATTGGCAAAGATTGGGCATGTCGTAGTGGGAAGAGAACTTTACAATTTGTCACTACAGCACGCATCATAAAAGAATTGCTGTAAAAAACTGTGGAATAGATAGGAGTACTTAACTATAGGATTTCACAGCAGCACGATAACCGGGGATTGGGGAGGTAAAGGAACTCAAAACGTTCCTTAAGGTAAATTGGAGTGAAGGGAGTAAAATGAATGCTATAAAGAAGAAAAATGGCGTGCATATGATCCGGCGAAGGCGTATAGGTAACTTGAGCCTAATGCGATATTCGAAAATATGATTATAAGTGTTATTTATAAACACACAAAATGGCAAAGATAAAAACTG